GTTACCTTACTCAACTTTGTTACTCTAACTCACTCTATACATGCCTATGAATCGCGATGCCGTGTACCACGAGATAGATATATGCAGAGAGAGAGAGAGAGAGAGAAAGAGAAAGAGAAAGAGAAAGAGGGAGACTTGCTTTGTCAAAAAATATATCCACGCGAGCTTAATTTCCTATTAGTATCATAAATGAATGTTGCCGTTACTGCTGCTGCTGCTGCCCCAAATTGTTTTGAAATATAGAAATGCTCCCGGAGCCGAGTCGAATTAACAATGTCGAAAATTGTCAGGATGTCAGTACGCTGTGAAGCTAGTTGATGATTGCCTTAGTGGGCACGTTTGCCAGTGCATATAATCTTGCATCTCAATTCACGCTGCTCGTCATCACGGTGATACTCGTTTTTCACGACGATTCACTAATTATCCGCGAGATCCACTGAGGAGGAAGAGGAGGATGCGGCTTCGGCTCGGTCGAATCTATAACCGATGATTTTTATGGCGCCTTGTAGCTTGTCTCTCCCTTCCCCCTTTCTCCCAACGACCCGAGCTCGCGTGTACCGAGGGTTGGGATATCGGGGGTGGATCGAGGTTTGTCGCTACCACCCGTCAGTCGACATTCCACGTATTTTTTTTCCCCCAGACTGAGGGGTTATTCGGTTTAGGATTTGACCTCTCATTCGCCAGGAAAGCCTCTCTTCCCTCGTGATTTTCGAGGCATCGCCGGTCTTCGCGACGCGCTCTCACACATTATCGCCCGATGTCTCCACACAAGCGACACATGCGCAAGCAAGCGCGCGTCCGTGTGCGTATGCTTTGTACAACGCATGTTGTGCGACGCTACTCACGAACGATGCTCCCGTTGGTCGACCGAGTTTTTTTTCACTTTATTAACTCTTCTCTCTCTCTCTCTCTCTCTCTCTCTCTCCCTCTCATACACACACACGCATTCTCATCCACCCTCAATCAGTCATACTCGTATCTCATTTTGGTACTTAGAACTGTGCAACGACTCCCTCACCCCGACCCTACCCCCACCCAACCCCATCCCACCACGATACAAGCTAACTCCTTTTCTGAAAAGTTTATGATTTTTTAATAACTAGCATCAAAGAATGCAACAATCCTGGCATCTTCTTCTCATCTTTATTCCATTATTTTTCACAGGATTTTCACTGGATGTTATGTTTTATTTAACTGATCATGGAATGAGAATCGATCTTCCTTTTTTATTGTACCGTAATTTGAATTTAACAGTAATTAAAAAGAAATGTCTCATTGGCAATGTGTAAGACAGTTTGATAAGTCATAATTAGATCTAACTTTACACAAATGCAATTGACACGTGTCAATTAAATTTGATGGTTTACGCTCACTGACATATTACAGTAAGATTTTGTAAAATAGCACTTTTTTTTATGAAAAGTAGCAGTAGAGTATTATGGTAATTGTAGCAGCGTCGGTCGGCCCCTCCACTTTGTGCATAATTATTTATACTATGTCATCGAAACGTTTACTACAAATATTTATTCCATTTATTGCAGAAAATAAACGCAAGTCCGATGATAATTTGGAAAATTCGACTGCAAAGACTAAACGCATGGAGACAAAGCTACGCTGCACTGACTTGATTGTGCTTGGCTTACCATGGAAGACAACCGAGCAAAATCTCAGAGAATATTTTGAAACTTTTGGAGAAGTTTTAATGGCGCAAGTAAGTTAGATATTTGTACAGAATTATGCTAATCTTTAAAGGGTGATACTTTATAGTAGATATGTCAAGTAGATTGTTGTCATCAGTCCCAAATAGTATTTCGTACATACAAAATACGAATAACATTGAAGAGCATCTTTTCTTATATCTTAATTCGTAGAAAGAATCCATACGTTCTCTGTTTATTTCATACACAGTACGAAACTTATTATTAGTACATACCTGAATGTATGTTACATATTTTACTTTTACATTGTTTGACAAGTGTCGTCGATGGTTCAATGTTAATATTTCCTTTGATTACTACGATATAAAGACTAATCAATTATATGTAATTATTAGGTAAAGAAAGATGCAAAATCTGGACAAAGTAAAGGATTTGGATTCATTAGGTTTGGAAGTTATGAATCTCAATTGAGATGCCTTGCCCAACGCCATATGATCGATGGCAGATGGTGCGATGTCAAAGTCCCAAATAGTAAGGTAAGGAATCATTTTTCTTCTGACATTCTTCATAAAATATTAGTTAAGTAATCATCAACTAGAGATGAATATGGAATGAATCTTAGGTTTATGCATTGCTTGCTACAATTTTTCTTACCGCAAGGTCGAAGGTTATAGCCAATTATTATTATTTCCTTTATTTTTACGAGAATTAAATTTGACGATACAAATTGAATACTTTTCACTTAATATTGTTTCATAAAATTTTTACTTAAAATTCATTTCTAATTTGATATCTTACATAAGCCTTGGATTTTTTCATTTTTTTCATTTTTTCATTATTATTTTTTTTTTTATTATTTTTTTTTTATTTTTTTTTATTACAATTAGTTATGTAAAGCACTTTGCAAGGTGCATGATATTTAAAATAAACTGCTGCGAGTACATCGTTGCAATGTACAAAATGCCTTGTTCAAGTTTTATTGTGACAAATTTTTATTTTCTTACTCAGGCACCTTGAAAAGATAGCATTATTTGTGTAATTTAGTAAAAAGAGCCAACAAGCAATTTTACATTAACCGAGCACAATAGTATGGTGTAAGTAGATGAATGTTTAAGAGACTAAAGGGAGCAAGTATGAGAGTTTTGTAGTATTGAATGCAAGAAAGTAATAACGTGCGTGTGGCGCTTGAGTTTTAATAGTAAAAATCCTTGAATTTTGTGATGCTCATTGTTAATATTGAGATCAATGTGGAGTGCAAAACAATTTTTTTTTTATTTACAACGCGAGATGTGAATGGGATATGTTTCAGAAAGTATTTGGTGCAAAAAAAAAAAAAAAAAAACCAAAAATAAAAAGAAAGGAAAAAATGTCTTTTAAAAAAGTTGCATTTTGCTTTTAAGATTTCGGTGTTTTGATTTATTTGTTGTTAAAAAATGTTGCGCTAGCAAGCGACACGAGTTCTTTATAATATTCCCTAAATACTGCGTGTGTATTTTTTTTTGCTAATAGTCCGGTCGAAACAATTCTTTTGTGGTGTAATGTTTGCAGACCATCCTAATTTTGTTACATGTATGCGTGAGCTTGAACTTGACTCCGAAGGTTTATTTTCTTCAAATTTGATATGATTATTATGTACGGTATAAATGCACCAGCAATAATGATTGATTAGTCAGCAAATTAGAAATAAAAGATTTTTTCCTGTACCAGCAATATTGTTATTTATAATTTGCACTAATAATTTACCTCTAAATAAATATTGTACATTGTGATATATTGAAAAAACGTGGTGTGCGCATGATAAATAAGTAAAGTGATTCCAATATAATACGCGATTTATTTCGTGGAATCGAGCATTAAGCGTTTGATCAAAATGAGTGTATATCGGGTGTAAAATATTGCGGAATGTGTATGCTTTAACGGGATGACCAGTAATTATTACCTTTTGTTTTTCTTTTATTTTTATTTTAATTTTTTAATTATTTTTTCTTTCTCTTCATTTGGACACCAATAATGTATTTCTCCTCAATGGTTTGTGAACGAATAGAGCAACAATGTTTCGAGTATGAGTTGTTTAATACGTTTGACAAATTTTTTGCTGAAACATGCTGAAATCTAAAAGTAATGATGAATATTTTTAAAGAAGCACCTGTATTTTAAAGTGCGCAATAGTAGAGGTGTGCGTGTGCGTGTGCGTGTGTGCGTGTGTGTGTGCCAGTGCGTGAGTGCGTGCGTGCGTGCGTGCGTGCGTGTGTGCATCTGTGTGCATATCGAGCGTAGATCGTGTGCTGCTGCGTGCATCGCCGTTTCTCGTGGTATGATCGTATGACAGTCTCGTAAAGACGTGTGTGTGTGCGTGTGCGCGCGTGTGTGTATGCTTTTTCTTTATTTGGGTGAGATCATAATGAGATACATGTAATTCATAATTTTTCACTTTCTATACAATTTAAAACGAGTATAATGTGAGCTTTCAATTGTTCATTATCATTTTAACGCAACAAAATATTTAGTTTTCAAGTGCGTATTTAAATTAGACAATTGACTAATGAAGAAATTATGTAGTTTCACGGATTAATTATTGAAAAATTCGTTTACTACAATTATAATCATTATTATAAGTATTTTCAAGAGTGTGAATTGAATTTTTAATGGAAATAACCGTTGGTGAGCACACATACATATACACCCAGCTCTTCACGATTTTCATAGAGGTTGTACATACCTTTCTTTTACACTGTACATAAATGTTATTATGCTTTATGTCTCGTTTTAAATTATTGGAAAATGCATTACGCAATCAAATACGTGGACCCTTGCAAAAAACGTAAATTCGAAGTAAGTTTGTACAATCAATTGTAAAGGATACCTCGGGATTATTGTTTAAAAAACAAAACAAAACAAAACAAATTAAAAACATGGCATAATGTTGCGTTTGTCGATATTGTATGAACGTACGAATTTATTTTCAAATTTTTTGTTTTTTGTTTCAATTAAGGGCCTACAACTTTAAAAATTTTTTTTGCTTATTTCATTTCTAAGTCAGTGTATTATGCTGTATGGTAAACTGGAGAAAATGAGCGAGTGAGTGTAGTAGAATGAGTATTAAAGAGATTGGGAAGGGGTTGGGAAGGGGATAGGGGAAGGAAGACATATGGAGAGAAAGGCTGAGAGAGTGATAGCTTGGCTGTTTGAACGAATGAATATACATCTGTGGATACGTGCGTGCGCGAGTGAGTGAGTGAGTGAGTGAGTACGTGCGTGTGAGTGCGTGTGCGTGTGCGTGTGCGTGCGAGAGTTAAACTGAGAGTGTGGGCGGATTGGTGGGGTGGAGTGGGGTGGGGGGGG